ATACTTTCAAAACGTCCTCCATCTTATAATGATTACATGAAAAATGTTCTACATTTAGATGAAATTCTGACTATGGAACAGTTTCAAACAGATATCCAAATTGAATCATTCAACATATGTAATATTGGCACCATTGAAAGTTAATCATGTGAGTGAAAATTCAGCCAAGCCTTTTCAGAATAAACTCAAGCCTTGAAAGAAAAATAGTGCCTTCAAAAAAGCTTCTTTCAAGAAAGTTTCCTTCAAGAAAAATCAACCTTGTTACCATTGTGAAAAGAAAGGTCATGTTATTAAAGATTGTAGATTTAGGAACAATGCAAAGAATTTTTGTTCTAGTACTAATGCATAAACAAGCAACAAGGCAAATTTGACTGAGCATGAATTGGTTGCTATGGTTTCTAATATGCAAATTGGAATGGTGACTAAATTGAACATGGCAAATCTAACCAAGTCTATGGATTGGTGGTTGGATTTTGGTGCAATAGTTCATGTGTGCAATAACAAGGCACAATTCAAGTCTTATAATGATTTGAAGGAACCAAAGGAAGTGCTCATGGGAAACAACGTCACCATAAAAGTTCTAAGCAAAGCACAGTGGGATTGAAGTTCACTTCGGGCCACAAATTGACCTTGGTTAATGTTTTCCATGTGCCTGATATTAGAAAAAACTTGGTGTCTACAAATTTGTTATGTAAAAGGGGCTTAAGGGTTGTCTAAGAATCAGACAAAGCCATTATATCAAAACATGGCAACTTTGTGGGGAAAGGTTCTTCCTGTGATGAGATGTTCAAATTGAGTGTTAATGAAATAAATAATGTTTCTGCTTATATTGTTGTGTATTCTTCCTCTTTATGGCATGCTAGACTAGGACATGTGAATTATGAATCATTAAAATATATGTCTTAGAATGGATATTTAACTTGTTAAAATGATTTGAAAGATAGATGTGAAATTTGTGTGCAAGGTGAAATGACTAGAAGACATTTTCCAAAAAGAGAGAGAAATACATAAATATTAGAATTAGTGCATTATGATATTTGTGAATTAAATGGTCATCTTATTAGAGGGAGTATAGGATACCTCATAACATTCATTGATGATTACTCTAGATTTACATATGTATATCCTATGAGAACAAACTATGAGACTTTTGACAAGTTTAAAGAATACAAATCTATTGTGGAAAATCAAAAGTAGAAGAAGATTAAAGCTCTTTGAAATGATAGGGGAGGAAAGTATTTTTCATATGTTTTTCGTAATTTTGTGAAGAACAAAGCATCATACATCAAAGAACATAGCATTATACATCAAAGAACAACCCCCTATTCACTCTAACAGAATGGTTTGGTAGAAAGAAAAAATAAAACTTTAGTTGACATGGTTAATTACATGTTGATAAATTTAAAGTTGCCATTTAACCTTTGGGGAGAGGCACTGTTTACTATCAATCATATTACCAATAGAACTTTATCAAAGAAAACTCATGCTTCTCTATATGAGACTTGGAATAATGGAAAAAAGCCAAATTCGAATTATCTCAAAGTGTGGGGGTGTCTTGCCTTTTATAAGGTTCCAAACCCACAAAAAACAAAATTAGGACCTAGAGGCATAAAAAGTTTATTTGTTGGTTATGCAATAAAGTCTAAAACCTATAGGTTGCTAGATTTAGAGTCAAATGTTATAGTAGAATTCACACATGTGGAGTTCTTTGAAAACAAGTTTATTAATGATTCTTCTACTTTGTTTGATTTTGGAAATTCTTTGAGTAATTCAATGCATGAAAATCGAATTGGTACAAGTACAAGTTCAATTATTGGGGAGAAAAGGAAAGAGAATGATGGTTTAATTGAACCAAGAAGAAGTACAAGGATTAAGAGAGAAAAGTCTCTTGACCTTGATTTTATTTCTTCTTAGTCTATTGTCTTACTTGTTAAAGCAACCAAAGCTGAAATAATTCAAAAAATACCCATGACATTAAATGTTGAGGAAGATCCAAAAATGCTTCAAGAAGCAATGGCCTCAAGGGATGTAGCTTTTGGACAGAAGTTGTGAATGATGAGATAGACCCTATCATGTCCAATAATACTTGGATCTTGATGAATCTACCACATGATTTACAACCAATTGGTTGTAAATAGGTGTTTAAATGAAAATACAATATAGATGGTACAATGTAAACCTTCAAAGCAAGGTTGGTTGCAAAAGGTTTCACTCAAAAAGAAGCAATAAATTATTTTGACACGTGCTTCTATTGCAAGAATAACATCCACAGTAGTTCTCTTTGCATTGGCTTTGATTTATAAGCTACTTGTGCATCAAATAGATGTTAAAATAGTATTCTTGAATGGTGATTTAAGTGAGAAAGCATACATGGAACAACCATGAGGCTTTATACTTCTTGGAAATGAAAGAAAAGTCTGTAAATTAGTTAAGTTACCATATGGCCTAAAGTAAGCTCTCAAGCAATGGCTTCAAAAATTTGATACACATATTATGGCAAATGGATTTAAGTATAATGATGCAGATAAGTATATCTATTTAAAGTTTACTAAGGATTATAAAGTTATAATATGTTTCTATATTGATGACATGTTGATATTTGACACCAGCATGATGGGAATAAATGGGACCAAAAAGTATCTAACTTTAATCTTTAAGATGAAAGATTTAAATGAAGTAGATACTATTTTGGGAATTAAGGTAAAGAGACATGATCATGGACATTATATAAAGAAGATGTTGAATAAATTCCAACATTTTAATATAAAGGAAGCCCCTACTTCATATGATCCTAGCATGAAGTTGACTTTAAACTCAGATCATGTTGTTGCTCAATTGGAATATGCTTGTGCAATTGGGAGTTTAATGTATGTCATGCGTTGTACTAGGCTAGACATAGCTTTTGTAATATGCAAATTATCAAGATACACAAATAAACCAAGTTATGAGCATTGGAAAACCATTAAAAGAGTTCATGGTTATCTTAAAAAAACAAAAGAGCTTGGTTTAATTTACTTAGATTATCTAGTTGTCCTAGAGGGATACATTTATGCAAGTTGGATCACTAGTAAAAGTGATAACAAATCTACTACAAGTTATATCTTTACACTTGGAGGAGGTGCAATAAGTTAGGCATAAAAGAAACAAACATGCATCTTACACTTCACAATGGAATTTGAGTTGATTACTTTAGTAGTAGGAGGCAAGGAAGTAGAATGGGTGAGAAATTTATTGCTTGATATAAAGTTGCGGTCATAACCTATGCCAACCATTTCCTTACATTGTGATAGGTAGGCTACAATGTCTAGAGCAATGTTTTCAATAGCGACCATAGCAGCCACTATAGCAGCCACTATAGCAACATAGCATAGCGACCAGTTATGGCCATTATGAAAAATCTCCATAGCGTAGCGAGTGAACAATAACAGTCGCTATACAAATAGTGAGCAGCGAGTATAACAGGCACTATTTAAATTTCTTGACTTTTTTTTGTCAAATTACCATGTTAACCCCACATCAAGAGTTTAAGTTAAAAGCTTTCAAGGTTAATTTTGTCTTTCCAACTTTTCTATTTATGAATTAAAGAAAAAAAACCCTAAAACAACTCATGACATCTGGTCTCCACATATCTCGCGCATTCCTCTCGACTCTCCTCTATCGGTCTACCCTCACGAGTCTCGATGCCGATATTCTCTCCCACTTTGCACACTATCTGGTCTCTTCTTAGTCCCCATTGGCCATAGCAAGAGTTGAAGAGTGCAAGACAACTCTCACTCTCACAGCTCACCCCTTCACACCTTTTGTAACTGGAGTTACTAGACAGCCATTAAGCACTGATCTGTACATCATATCGTCTCCAATTTCAAGTAATCTTTCAAGTAAGCACTGATCTTATTGGACAACAATTACACATGTTA